TCAGCCTAAAGTCACCCACCATTTGTGTTGCCGGGGGGGGGGGGGGGACTTCGGATCCCCCATTTTCAAAAAAGGGTCCAAGGAAAAAACCCAGGGATTTTAGGTTTTGATAAAATTGTTAATAAAGTTTGAAAATTACTCATGAAAGCATAAAAATGTCCAGTGGTCTAAATATTTATTTATTGACTACGCTACTTTTTTCATTTGGGCCTATATTTCCTATTATTCTATTAAATGGCATGTAGCCACACGGGCGATAACTTGCAAATTTCTAAAAATTGACATCACTTGTTTTTTCCCTTGAACCTTCATATGTTGGCGATGGCCGAGTGTGCCAATCCAAGGAGACTATTGGTATTGGTCATCATTAATCATGCATAATGATGTCTTTCAATGAAACATATTGTAAAATGAAAATGATTTTAATAGTAACATACGGATTTAAAAACCATTTCAAACGTTCCTTTTTACAGAAGAATTACTTCTATCTAATTCTCATTCCAAGCTCTCATTTAGTGTTTATCGTTGATGCCTTCAGCGGTAAAGGCAACTGTCTCATCAGGCTAGATCAATCTTATATCACAACCATAAGACACGATATGCGTGCTAGCTTTCTATCCTGGAACCTTGACACTATTTAACGCGGCATCACTGTTACATCGAACTATTAAACAATAAATGTTATTTCGAGACCTGCAATGTCAGCAAAGCACTATTCTGAAATCCATGATATTAACATAGCACTATTTTGACATACATGATACTAACATAGCACTATTCTTACATCCATGATATTGACATAGCACTATTCTGACATCCATGATATTGACAAAGCACTATTCTGACATACATGATATTGACAAAGCACTATTCTGACATCCATGATATTGACATAGCACTATTCTGACATCCATGATATTGACAAAGCACTATTCTGACATCCATGATATTAACATAGCACTATTTTGACATACATGATACTAACATAGCACTATTCTTACATCCATGATATTGACATAGCACTATTCTGACATCCATGATATTGACAAAGCACTATTCTGACATACATGATATTGACAAAGCACTATTCTGACATCCATGATATTGACATAGCACTATTCTGACATCCATGATATTGACAAAGCACTATTCTGACATCCATGATATTGACATAGCACTATTCTGACATCAATGATATTGACAAAGCACTATTCTGACATCCATGATATTGACATAGCACTATTCTGACATCCATGATATTGACATAGCACTATTCTGACATACATGATATTGACAAAGCACTATTCTGACATCCATGATATTAACATAGCACTTTTTTGACATACATGATATTAACATAGCACTATTCTGACACCCATGATATTAACATAGCACTATTCTGACATACATGATATTAACGTAGCACCATTTTGACATACATGATACTAACATAGCACTATTCTTACATCCATGATATTGACATAGCACTATTCTGACACCCATGATTATAACATAGCACTATTCTGACATCTGCAAGGTACGTGTGCATAGCATCCAACATACTTGGTAAGTCCATGAAGGAAGTCACGCTAGAATTCGACAGGGAGCGGAGGACGACCACATCACGACCTACTCGCTCCTCCACCACTGGTCAGTGCCAAGGAAAACATTGCTTAAACGGTGGACGCTGCGAAGTGACCAATGTTCAAGGTGTCTCCACTCCTGTTTGTCGTTGTCGTAGGCTTTATGAAGGGCCTCGGTGTGAAATCAAAACTGTTGCTACTGACAAATCACAGAGGACAGATAGGGCTGACCAATCACAGAGAAGGAGGACAGTTGGTGCTGACCCATCACAGAGTAGGAGTAGAAGAACACATGTAGGTGTACCTTCAAAGCAATAGACCAATGGTTATCCATAAGATATGACCGGAGCTTGAGCGGGTTCTGTGAGGTCGACTGCGACTAATAGGGACACCACTAGCATATCATTACAGTGAAAAGCTAAAAAAAATATTTTGAAATGTAAATAATTAGGTATGTTCCTTATTATTATTTATCAATAAATGACGTCACGCTTCTAAAAAGGTGGGAGGGGGGGGGGGCGCACGAATTTGTAACGATTTTATGAGTGTGTCTAAATATTGTGGATAAATGGCTCTGTGGGTTTCCAATAAATGGCTCCGGGTTTCCAATGCGTACCAGAATTTGTTTGCCATGAGCCAGACATACTACAATAATATAGGTCAGCTCATGGTCCAGCCAATCCATAATACTAATAGTAGACTATACAGCTTTAGGTCCAGACCAACTATAATAAGTTATTTAAAATGTAGGTCTATACCCACTATTACAACAAGAGATGTTATATTTTAGATACAGACCTATTTAATATAACCTATTGTACACATATTTGGGGTGTAAATTGTAAATAATAAATGTGATATATGCATGTGTCTTATACATGTACCACATAAATCTAGCATCATTGGTGGAAAGGTGTGTGTGTGTGGGGGGGGGGGG